TCGTATTAATAAAACATTATCATAAACCCTTGATAAAATTTCTCTATCAAAATTGATTGAGGTTTTTCTTTGGGTGTGGTGACACTAAATACTTTATTTTAAAAATTGCTTTGTAATATTTAGTATTGATGAATGGATTTATTACGACTTACCAGCTATGATTGATTATGTTTGCAAGGAATCTGGTTACGATAAAATATACATAGTCACTTATTCTTTGAGCAGTGCTGTCTTCTTTTCGACAGTAGCTCTAAGACCCGAATATAATGAAAAAGTTATAGTTAGCTATCATTTGGCTCCATTTGTAGCATTTTCCAATGTTAAATCGGTGCTATTACGCCTAGGAATTCAGTTTGGGCCTCAATACTTGGTGAGTTATATTAAATACAACATAAATAAAGCGAATTAAAAAATAAACTAGTTTCGATGTTTAGTAGAATAGTTTGTACTACAGTTTGGTATAAGTTGACTCATAAAATGTATCATTTGAAAATGATTTGTATTAATTAAAAATGTTAACCAAGAAAAGAGTAGTTGTGCGACCACAATAAATTCAAAATATTCATCGTTATCATTTTAATAAGAAAAAGAAAAAAATGTTTTTAAAATTCGTGTAAAAAATAATTTTTTACTAAGAAATGAGCAAAGACAACTTAAGTCCAGAGGACTCACAACTCTGATAATTCTAAAATATCATTATATGTACATTTTAGTTAGAAATATTAGTGAGACTATTTCAATATTATATTAAAAATTGTGCTTTAAGTTTTAAAAATTATATCTTTAAGACTTTCATGATCATATCATTTTGTTGGAAGCATAATTAATTTTATATTAACATAGTCTCCAATATTGCTGCAGGAGAATAATTCTCTTTTTAGAGTAGAAAAACTTCCCATGATAACTGTCTTTGACTGTCATTTTTTTCCTGTATTAACTGTAACATGATTAGTTCATGACCAGTTCATTAGGAATTATAAGTTTTTACAATAATCCTGAAACCCACCAATCAGTATGCGCTCCCCAAACTGAAAAATCTTAATTAAATTATATTTATATTGAAACAAAAATTGACTTTGGTTTTTTATGCTGTCATTTACAACAAAAATATTTTGTTACATTCGATATAATAACTATTTGTTTAATAAGATTTAACATTTATTATTTCAGACAGTAGCCAGAGGTCTTAATATCCATGAATTATTTCCACGCAATGAAAGGGAAGTAGAAATGTATTCGTCACTTTGTAGTAAAAATTCAACATTTTTGAAGTCGTGTACTGCAATTGTGTCGGACTTTTTTGGATTGGATACGTCTGGTAACTCTACAGTAAGTATTATTTTTTTAGTTCAATATGTTAAAAAATCTCTTTTAGAATTGAGTTTTTCATTTGTCAAATTATAGAAAGATCTGGATTTTAAACTAGCTTACTCGAGAGCTGGAGTATCACTCAATAGTATAGATCATTTACTTCAAATGTTAAGAACTAGTAAGCATTAATTTAAATTGTTTATGATATAAATATCAGATAAACTCAAATTCCTTTATGAGAAATTAATGATGTAAGGGTATAAGTACATTATGGAAATTATAAGTTTACCAACTCCGTCTGTAATAGTTTATTATAAAACAAATTATTTGCATTTACAAGATAATTGTTTGTTAAAAGTGATACATTTTTGATGTTGAAATTGAAAGTTGATAGGGCTAACTTACCCC